GTAACACCCCTGAAACAGTTTAAATTACAATAATACAGTTTTTATTTCATATTTGCTAAATAATACGATGTTTATTACATCCTGTTTTAAAATCACAGACAAGCAACATTTGTTAAAAGTTTATATGGTTAAAAATTATAAATAAAATACAAAAGTTGTTTTTAACTCAAAAAAAAGTTTTCTTCTTCGTTTTTTTTTTCTCGGCTTCAAATTTAAACTTTCTTTGACAGATTAGTTTAAGAAAACATAGTGGGAACACTGTACCACGTGATTTATCTTTGTCAGGCGGTCCTACAAGTAAAATAACACAAATTGTTTATAATGAAAAACCGTCTATATTCAAATCACATTGTGGAAGAGAGAAACCGGGACAATTAAATATTTTTACTGTTTATGATTGGGACAATACTGGGACGTCTGGTACCCCTCGAAACGTGTAATTACTATTGGTGTTGTAATAGTCAAAAACGTAAAATTACTCAACATGACGTAATGTGTGGACCGATCCGGTAGTGTACCGTATATGAACAAGTCGGTAATTTAGGGTTAAATAATGAAAAACATTTTCTAGTATTTGATAATCCCTGAGGCTTATAACAATAAAACCATGTGTCGATACTGCGGTGGGCAAAGCAAAAATAGTATATTCCAGCGTTTCCCAAACTTTTGTCATCCACGCCCCCTTTAATAAATATGATTTTTTGCGCGCCCTTTGTTTTTTTAAAGGAGTGAAAGAGTGAGTTAAGTGACAAGATATAATATACTAAAATGCTCTGTTGTAGTAATTACTTATTATTTTCATTAGTAAAAAATATATTAAATCGCTTAATTTTGCATGATTGACTCTAGTCCTAACCGCTCGCTTACTGTAGTTTACTTGTAGGGATTGCGGGATGGGAGAAAAACCTAAAAATGTTCAAATCTTTAATAGTACCAGTTAAGCCTTTCAAAGCTCTTGGGAGGTAATTAAAAATCGCACGTGAAAGTCACGATATTCCTGCCTGCTTCTCTTATTGCATTGCTGTTAAAGTTAATAACTAATAATATTTTAAATTAAATTCCAAGTAACTGTTTTTTGTATCTATAATAAAAGTACATTTTTATATTAGAAACGCATTTTCAAACTTTTATATGACTTCAATATTTTACATTCGAAACATTCTGAATGTACAATGGATATTCTGTAATTAATGGTATATCTGCTATTTAAAAATAATTAGCTTAAAGTGTTAAAGCTAAAATAACCTTCAGTCTGTTTTATCATTATAAACCTAAAAGTTTACAGTCCATCGTTACTTGAGTTTTTATTACAATAGATCACCCGAATGATTCTAATAGAAAGTCAACAATAAGAAGCAGTGATAACGCGGTCCTGTTAGAGTTCCTCCTGTAAGAGAAATTTCGTGCTACCTTTCTCATCGGCCCCCAGTTGTGAGCCAGTAACTTTTCACATTGCTAGAAAATATTAAAAAAATTTATGTTCACGTAATATAGAGATGTGTTCTAAATTTGTATTTATACAAAGATTAGTCCTAATCTTAATATCTTCGTACGTTTACAAAAAATTGATATTAACTTCCAATCAAAGTAAGCTATCTACTTGGATCAAACTTAAATATCAACCTGTTAATGAGTATATCTAATCAAGTATAATCTTCTTATGTTCGTACTTATAAAGATTAGAATGCATTGTTTCATCAGTTGGTTGTTAGTGATATTTTCGGCCGTAAACCCAATAATATCTCACGAGGTTAGGAGATTAAAGCTATTCCTAAATTTATTTTCTTAACTAACAATGAAAACTAACCCTAACAGTAAAGATAAAAGTATTATATATGAACATTAAACATTCTAACCAGTACTAGATTACACCTTCATTATGTGAAATACTATTACATGTTATAAACCTAACAAAGAAAATATAATAATAAGAAGAAAGTTAAAAATAATAAAACTATATATATTAAACATTCTAACCAATACTATTAACGAAGGCAACATTGAAGAAAAAATATAGTCTACCTCATTTAGTTGGACTATTTGACTTCAGTTCTTTGTTTGTTTGTTTTTTAATTTCGCGCAAAGCTACACGAGGGCTTTCTGCACAAGCCGTCCCTAATTTAGTAGTGCAAGATTAGAAGGCAGCTAGCCAACACCACCCACCGCAAACTCTTGGGCTACTCTTTTACCAACGAATAGTAGGATTGACCGTCACATTATAACGCCCCCACGGCTGAAAGGGCGAGCATGTTTGGTGGGGTGGGGATTCGAACCCTCACATTGACTTACAACTGTTTGTAATGTATTAGGGAACATCCTTTTCGTCTCTGTACTAAGTCTGTAATCAGACCTGAAGAAGCAAATGAGACATAAGAGTATAAGAAGAAATAGGTAAACAGAAATCATAAATAATATTCAACGTTAAATTGGTTCACAATTAAAAACATTTTATTTAGGCCTATCTATGGCCTTCAAAAAGTTGACGATTCTACATGTTTTGACGTTACGACGTCATCCTCAGGAGTGTGTATCAGTTTAACGTTGAATATTATTTATGATTTTAACTTTATACACAAGTGCCAAAATACTATAATTAGGTAAACAGAAATTAGATATAAATCACAGTCTACGTTTAAATATTTTTATCACGCATTATACTCATCTACATAGCTTTTTTTAATATATATAATCAGGACAAGATCCGTGTAATAATTGTTTATTAACTTTCAGCTCATTGTAGCTGCTTGGAGAGTATTAGCGAAATATCTTTTCGTCCTTGTACTACTAAGGACTTCGACATATCTGACGAAACAAATTGTGCTTACAGACGAAACGTGTCGAATTTGATAACTGTAAAACTAGCCCTCGCAAATGTAGCCTGATCCCAGACTTACGTTATGGAACTGCCTGAAAAAAACTCATCTGAATACAGTCCTTTTTTGTGCATTTAGAAAACACAAAGCTAGGACGAAACAAATTTGTTATTTTGTTATTATAATTTTTGGAATTGGAGTATTTTCACTTTGTAGAATCTCGAATATGTTACTACAAAATTTCAAGAGTTCATTTGTGTATTTCAGATTTTTCCGCAAATTACACAATAGCTATCTGATCATAACTGCCCCTAATTTAGAACAGATAGACTAGATGGAAGGCAGCTACTTAACAGCGCCTACCGCCAACTTTTGGGCGGCTCTTTTCTGTTGAGTAGTGGAATTTGAACGTCACTTGTGTAGCTTTGGGCGAAAGTTCTGTAACATTTTTTTTCTATTTTAAAGTTTGAAACTCACACTGTTTTACCTCTTCTTTCAAAACCAACCAATAGAATACATAAATCAAAGCAAATATTTGAATAATAAATGAGCTAAGTGCCTCCCATTGGCTAACGTGTAGAATTGTGGATCCAAGGTTCCGTGGTTCGCGCCCCTTTATTCTCTCCCCAAATAAAAACAACAGATCGTGCTCAGTACTTTGGGGCCGTGGGTACGTGGTCAAATCCTAGTATTCGATTAGAGTAGCCCACGAGTTGAAGGTGGGTGATGTTGACAAGCTATTGTTCCTCTAGTGTGTCACTTCAAAATTTGATAATATTCGAGTAACTTTACACGAAATACAACGAAACAACAAGAGAATAATATATATGTATATATAATAAGGAAAGGGTTAGCTTATAAGTTGAGAAATAATCACAAATATAACGGTTCTGAACTCTTGTTCTGTTTCTCTGTTGTATTCTAATTTGTATCGTTCTCCTACTCCATTTCCGCTGTTCCAGATTATTCACATACTCCAGTCTTGCGCCCTCTATAATTCTTTAAATAAGTTTCTGAAGATCGACATTTCCCTTTCTTAAAAAACAAATAACTACTGTTAACCTCGTATAAAACTTATGGGTATATAATATAGGCTTATTGGTTATAAAAAAATAAGTATTGGATTAGGATTAGTAGTGTTGGATATGGATTGGTAGTAGTGGATGTGGATTAGTAGCACTGGATTAGGATTAGTAGTATTGGATTAGGATAAGTAGTTTTGGATTAGGATTGGTAGTATTGGATGTGGATTAATTTTAATTTGATGTTTATCCTTACTTATGCAAATACCTCTATATATTCCTAGAATTTCACCTTTGGGTTTCAAGATTAATTTAGATCAGGCTACTCAACTAATGATTAACGTAATCTGAAAAAACGATTAAAAACGTAAGATATAAAAGACAATAAAATATACATATGAACAATAGACATTAAAAATAAGACTTTCAAAGTGGTTACAACCTGAAAAAGTCTTTAAAATTCACAAAAAACAACAACAATAAAGCATTGAAGTCGTCAGTTTTAAAATTACATTTCTAATCAACATCAAAAGAAAATTCATAAGACTTTTTTGTTAATAATTAATAATCTTTACCTTTAAGTTGTTTTCCTTGCAAACTTTTCTAGAGATTCTTAAAAGTTCTATAAACAAGAGCGCCAGAAATTTGTTTTAATTATATGTTTGTTTGTTTTAGAGCATTGAGTTGTCTGCTGTGTCCATCTCGAGACTCGAACCCCGGTTTTTTAAGCATTGTCAGTCAGTAAACTTACCGCGGACCAATGGGTTGCGGACCATGAGTCCTCGGATTCAAAATCACTCAGTTTAAATAACTAATCATAGAGATAAACAATCTGTGAAATCATTTTTAGATGTAGAATACGTCGTACAATCCTAGCTAGCAGGATAAATTATAAATATGATAGCTCATGTATTATAAGGGATTCTAACGAAAAATGTCATTGACCTAAAAGCAATTTGGTACATAAACAGTTTAAGAAAATGGTTAAAACAGCTTAAAAGGTCAAAGGGGTCCATACCCCATAAGTAATGCTGGGATTATAAAACTTATGCTATTTACTTGAATATTTTGTGTTTCAATATGTATGTATACATTTAATAATTTCATACATGGTTCAAACTGTTTTTGGATATCTTTAAATTATGATTTTTTGAATATTCTTCAGGAGATGAAGGAAGTTGTAGGGCCCTCCGTGGTAGAAGAAGTTATTGGTAGACCTGGTCCATCTCGCCCCAGGATACCGGAAATGGTAGTTCAGAGAGATTTCCGAAAGGTCAGTGGAATTTCTACGGAGGTCTTCCGGCAGATTGAAGCGGTCGAGAATGACTACGATGCTACGACAGCCGCTAATATGGAGGTTGTAGAAAGGCGTGGGGAGATGATCATCCGGGTCTTAGACCCCCGAAGCTTGGGCCGAATTGGCGCCGAAACTAGCAAGAAGTACCTGAGTGCTGCTACTAGTAGCCACACTGTTCAGTTTATAGAAATTATTAAACGTCCAGGGCAGACGTTAGGGTTGTACATACGAGAGGGGGACGGGATCCGGCGGACGAGGGGAGTATACATCTCCAGGATAGCTCTTGAAAGTGCTGTGTACAACAGTGGATTACTCAAAGTAGGTGATGAGATTCTAGCTGTGAACTTGGTTGATGTAAAGCATATGAGTCTGGACGACGTGGTCATCATCATGTCCATTCCAAGGCGTCTGGTACTAACCATTCGCTCCAAGATTTTTGTGAGAATACCCTCTCATCCCCCACGGAGACTTGCGGAAGAGGTGCGTCCACCCATTGTGGTGTGGAAAAAGGAGATGGAGGAGGAGGAAGCAACGGAAGACTTTAACAGTAACAGTGAAAATGGCCAGCTAATTCACGCTAGAACAAAAGGTTTGCCATCAGGGGTTCCGTCAGTAGCAATTCCATTAGATGATTGGGAAAGGAGAGAATACGACGACCATGGTCTCTACTATAACTCACGCCCTCGACTTCGCAGAGTGCCGATGGCTGAAATCCGGGAGGAAGAGAGACGTTGGAGAAGGGCTCCAGAGAGAGCCCGGCGCCCGGTGGTTATGCGTCAACCAAGAGCTCACCAAAAGTATCCAAAAATGCTAGAAAGTCTAGCCGAGCAGGTACACCCCTTTCATAGGTGTCCACCCCCACCAGCTCCTTCCAAAATATCACATCTATCACACAGAACTCTGGATACGAGACCTGTGAGAAGCAGCGCTGCCCGTCGCAGATACTGGGACGAATATGAGGCTTCATTAAGTAGTCGCCCAAAAAGGATTATGAGAGCGGAAAGTGAGCAAAGGATTCCAAGAGACAGACATCACGAGGAGGACGTTTACAATAGATATGCTGCTAGGGATCATCGGCTTAGTTTACGAACGACGAGAACTATGCAACCCAAGGTTCGAACATGCCGATCCCTAAGGGAAGGCCCGCCACAAGCTGGGATTCTGCGCCGCTCTGTGATAGAAAGCTGCTCTGATACCGAAGTGCACGTAAACTCCAAAGAACCTGCTGTTTTATACAGACAGGGCAGCTTGGGCCGTATGCCCCCATCCAGGGAACACTATCATTTCCGAAGCAATTCACTGCCACGTGCTCGTGCTACCGATCTGGAGACCCGGCGACGACGCCAGTCTGTCCGTTTTGAAAAGAAAACTCTGCCTTACGACTCTCAGGAGGACAGCGATGGCGCAGTGTCTGCCCCAGAGTTTCCATCCTCCAGGTCGGGTCGGAAAGCCTCAGGTAATGTATTGTTTTATTTATATTTTGTAATGCGTTTCACTTCATGGACATTGTTAAAGAACCAGTAAACAAACAAAGTCGATACAAGTCAATCACACTTTCCATCCACTCATGCTAAAAGAAATAAAACAGACACTTATTGTCAGTAAATCAACACGTGAAAATTGTGACCCATTAAATCAGTGAAGTTATATATATAAAACGCCTCGTATTGAAGTAGATAGTGAGTTACAGAAGTTAACAACTAAACAGCGTTATAAGTAAACAATTGGATGGGAGGGGTTGTTTGAAACTTGGATTGTTTAATAAACACCTCCATTTGGATGGAACACGGGGGAAGGGTATTTGAAATTTTGATTGTTTAAGTAAACACCTCCAATTGGATGGAACACGGGATGTGTATGTTTGAAACTGTGATTGTTTAGTAAACATTCCCATTTGGATGGAATACGGAGGAGGGGTGTTTGAAACTTTTATTGTTTAGATAAACACCTCCAATTGGATGGAACACGGGGGGTGTTTGGAACTGTGATTGTTTAAGTAAACACCTTTAATTGAATGGAACACGGGGATGGTGGGGTGTTTGAAACTTTGATTTGGTTTATGCACCAAGCTACTCGAGAGTTATCTGCGCTAGCCATCCCTAATTGAGCAGTGATAGACAAGAGGGAAGACACTTAGCTACTCGAGAGTTATCTGTGCTAGCCGTCCCTAATTGAGCAAAGATAAACAAGAGGGAAGACACTTATTCAACACCACCGACCGCAACTCTTGGGCTACTCATTACTAACGAATAGTGGGATTGACCGTAACGTTATAACGTCCCCACGGCTGAAAGGGCGAGCATGTATGGGGACGGGATTTGAACCTACAATCCTTAGATTGCGTGCCGAGTGTCCTAACAAGCAGGCTTTTTTATTCTGTAATCAGTTTTATTTTGGTCCTGCGAATGACTTGTATATAGTCAGCCCTAAACTAAACCGTAACCTAAACCTCTTGCATGTGGTTGACAAGTCGGACGATAAAAGAGCACAATATCGTATGTAGAAGTTATTACAGTAAATAGAACAAAATGGTGATAATATGAAACTAAATAAGAATATGTTGAAACTAGTTTCTCTAATAGATTTCTAACAGTTTGTTCCATTTACTGTGATTTTTGAATGAGTGTTCTACTGATTATGAATGAGAAGAGGACATTGTTTTTTTTTATGAATAATATTTTTGTTTTATTAAAATATTTTATGGATTTATTTATTTCCGATTTCGAATTGAATGGTCTATAAATATAGAAGAAACTCATATTTAACTTTTCACACCGGGAATAACTTTCAATGTTGTTGTTGTTATATTTTATTAAAGACCTGTAACCCACCAAATAATAAACACTTTGAGTGATTTCGTGTTTGGAAACAACTTTTAAATTACGAATGAGCTCTCTCGTAATCCCCCCCCCAAAAAAATTAAACTAGGTGACCACGTGCCTTAGAAGATCGATAGGAATGTTGAAGAGAAAAATATTATCATAGTGTCCTTACAAATATCAGGCATGGTCTACTTTCATGGATAATCTGATGCCACGTTGTCGCTCAGAGCCAGAACCATCTGGTAGAAGACGTGAGAAAACAAGAAATCTAATTTTCGACATCAAATACATCTTTTATCACTTCTTTTCTATTATTTTGTTTGATCGAAATCCACATTCCAAGCAGATAACTGAAATGAATCCACGTGGAGTTCTTGGCTGTGGTAAAAGCTAATTCCGGGTCAATGTTCACGGAATATAGTAGTAGTAGTATTAGCAAGTGTACTCTAAACATGTAATACGAGTTGTAATTCATTTATATATTCTCAACAACAAACAAAGAAAGACTGTTGTAATAACATCTAATTAATTTCATGTTGACTTTTCTTTAAAGAAAAATATCCTTTACGCAAAAGAAAAAATACCATTCTGATTTTTGTATTTAGGATTTTCGTGCATCTACACAAGCGCCCTCTGGGTATAAACTTCGCTGATATTGAGCTTATAGGCAAGGTGGCATCATTAATACCCATCGCTAACTGATTGAATAATGAAATTTGACTCCCATTCTTATAATATACCAACAACCCCAAACTACAGAGCGCGTTTTTTCAGTAACGGTACACGAACTGAGAATTATTGGATTTACAGTTCGGCCACTCTACTAGGCCACATCAGTCCGGATGTTCTGTTTAAGAATATTAAATAATACAAGTAACTGCGCATGCCCAGCAACAATCTGTCTTGTTCACTTCTCTTGACATTGCTGAGTAGGTCAACGACAAACGAGAAAACTTGCGGAATTATTTTAATGAATTGATTTCCTTAAAAGCGAACTAAATTAATGAATATATTAAAAGTAATTCAACTGTAAAAAATAAACTTACTGAAAATATAACGTCATATTACAAAATAAATTTAATGAAAATATAACGTCATATTACAAACACTACTCAAAATTGTGCCACTAAAAGTATGTTCACGGGGAGGAGAGAAGTGTGTGTTAACACCACTAGAGAGAGCTGCAAAATTTATAGAGATGAAATTGAAACAAATAAGAGTTTTTCTTCAAATATATGTTAGTTCCAGTGAATTTTTTCTTATGACTTGCAGTTTCGATGTCAAACGTTACTCAAACCATTTTTCTCTTTTCTTGAGTTGTTTTTATTTGTCTTCTTTACTGTGTTTTAAGCAATTAAAAAATATTCCAGTGAGATATGGAAACCAATAAAATCTATCCACTGCTTACCGAGGATACGCTGTGTAGTAACTTAAATCATTATTTTCTGTTTTTTTTTTTTAAGGACCAGCCTAGCAAGTTTCGTCTCATGGTAATATTTCCTTCATTTATGTTCTTTATTCACAGATATAGTTATAATCGAAACGCTTCCCTGGTGACCAGTATCTCAAAGTTTGGTTTGTTTGGAATTTCGCGCAAAGCTACACAAGCGCTATCTGCGCTAGCTGTCTCTAATTTAGCAGTGATAGATTAGAGGGAAGACAGCTAGTGAACACCACCCACCGCCAACTCTTGGACTACTCCTTTACGAACAAATAGTGGGATTGACCGTCACATTATGATGCCTCCACGGCTGAAAGGGCGTGCATATTCGGAGTGATGGGGATTCGAACTTGCGACCCACAGTTTGCGAGTCGAGCACCCTAACCACCAGGCTATGCCAGGCCCGGATCTCAAACTCTTTCAGATCAGTCTGAGGATCGGAAAAAATCCCACAGCTACATAGAACGTACCTAGTATGTATCATAACAGAGAAACTGTAGATACAAGTGATACAACTACATTAGTCCACCTACAGTCTTGGCCAAAATGTTTGCATATTTTGTAAAAAATAAGATCATTATTATTAAGATGGAATACAAATACACGTAGCGTTGTCAAACTGATAATTGCGTTCTATATTAAACATCCACATGTGTAATTTGTATATTGAGACAGATTCTATGGACATCATGAACGATTTATTAGAACAGCAAACAATTTTATCAGACACTTGGAGAAAGATGTGTAATTCAGCATTTCACCTATCATAACAAAACATTACCAAAACATATCTAATGACAAAATATAACATCCGATTATTATAAATAGCGTCTGTAACCTTATATCAGATCATATTAAACATCAGTACTTGGTTGGTCCTCCTCGTACACTAATATCTCTGCAAGGCGACGTGGCATGCTGTCGATGAGGTTATTGATGTAATTCACTGTGATTGCATCTCACCTTGTCACTAGAAACCGCTGAAACTCAGCTACAGTTTAGGGTCTTGGTTAGCAATTTTCCGTCTCAGCTCTGCCCAATATTTCTCAATGGGATTACAAACTGGAGACTTTGCTGGCCATGGCAATCTTGTAACATCCTCTTGGTCGAGATAACCCTGTACCATATGTGCACTGTTATTGTTATTGTAGAACTCAAAGTTATTGCCAAATCTTGCCCTAGAATATGACAGAAATATCATATCCATGTGATGCCTGTAGGAAGCAACATTGATGATTCCTTGGAGGATATGAAGAGCTGTCCAAACATGTACCGCACCACCTCCTGTGGGAAAGGAAGTATTCTCTCATTTATTCTCCAGGCAAGCGACGAACATGAATCCTACCATTAGGGTTAACAAGCCGGAAACAGGACTCATCTGAAAATATTACATATCGCCAGTGTTCTGACTTTAAGTTGGCATATTGTCTTACCAAGTAACAGGGTGATGGTGGTGAATTCTGGTTAATATCGGTTTGCAGATAGACCTTTTTGCAAAATAACCTTGTTTGGTCAGTCTCCTATTCACTGTTCTTCTGTGTACCCTGGAATGAATGTGTTCATGCCATTTTTGTCGTAAGGTGTTGCAAGACTTCTTTCAATCTTGACGTGTTAACCTGATCAAAACACGGTCATATCGGGCAGTTGGTTTTTCTGCGTCTATCAGTAGACTTTCCTGTAGTCTGATGACGTTTCAGGGTTATGGATACAGTAATGTGTGTGTGTGTGTGGTGGGGATACCCCACTGTTCTGGCAATGTCCGTTTGCTTCATATTATTTCTGGACAGTCAAACAATTTGACGTTCTATAACTTCTGGCACGTGACGAGGCATGACTCTACACCAAGTACAGAGAAATTGTCTGAACAAAGCGTTGATCTGTTTCGAAAAAGATTATACGAAAAGTACACACTTTTATACAAAACAGGTGTGTATGTGTGTTTTGACGAACAATACAATTTATAGAGACCAGAATAACAACTCGTACATGTTTGTCCGATCAAACGCTACCTTCTCTATTACCACTCGGGCATTTACTCAATAATGACTCCATGCATGTAGACAGTAATATCAATATATAGAACAGAATGCAAACATGTTGGACCAGACTGTATATAAGATATAAAATGTCCAAATATATAATTCTAATCATTTTCTCTACAACAGATTTTAGAAATTTCTTTTATTATGTGTATTATAATTTTGTTTAAATCACAATTTTCAAATTTAAATAAACGCCTTTTATATTATTATAAAATAATTTAAAACATTTAATTAACATTTTCTCATCAAAGCCATTAAAAATCAGTTAATATTTAGGTATTAAAAACTGTACGTTGCTATAAATCCTACAATACCTCAATTCCTGTGAATGTATAATACTCTGTATGGTATTTGTTGGTTCATTACTGTTTGGAGAGGGAAGGCCAGAAACGTGATATAATTTCTTTTATCATAAATATTACTACAATTATTAATTATCTTAATATCAAGATAATGTACTCCAGTGATTTTAAACAAAATTATAATATACACAATACAAAATAATTTCTAAATTTCATTGTAGAGGAAATAATTATAATTATTTATTTGGACATTTTATATTTTATAACTTATATAGGTGGACAGATGTAGTTATATCACCTTCCCTATATAAGACTTGCTAATGTGTGGATCTCTTTAAAACCATTGAAGATCCAGATAGTAGCAGAGAAGGGTGTAAAATAAAAACTATGTTAATAATTTAGGATAGGTTTAGTATATCAATATTTTAACAACTTGGTATTTATATCCAAACATCATATTGGGGGCTGGAATGCTAACTTCAAGGACAGTTTTGCTGTCTCCCCCATTGGTGTTTTATATTCTATTATTTCTTTCTTATTATTTTTTCTATTTAATATATCTATTTTTTGTGAGCAACCACATTCCCACACCTGGCTACAGACAGTAAAAGGTAGTAAAGATGGAGGAAGTTGTAGGCTAGACCACCCACATCTGTCTGCAGACAGTAAAAAGTAGTAAAGATGAAGGAAGTTGTAGGCTAGACCACCCACATCTGTCTGCAGACAGTAAAAAGTAGTAAAGATGGGGGGACGTTGTCGGCTATAACACCCACATCTGGCTGCAGACGGTAAAAGGTGGTAAAGATGAGGGACGTTGTCGGCTATAACATCCACATCTGGCTGCAGACGGTAAAATGTAGTAAAGATGAGGGACGTTGTCGGCTATAACACCCACATCTGGCTGCAGACGGTAAAAGGTGGTAAAGATGAGGGACGTTGTCGGCTATAACACCCACATCTGGCTGCAGACGGTAAAAGGTGGTAAAGATGAGGGACGTTGTCGGCTATAACACCCACATCTGGCTGCAGACGGTAAAAGGTGGTAAAGATGAGGGACGTTGTCGGCTATAACACCCACATCTGGCTGCAGACGGTAAAAGGTGTTAAAGATGTGAGACGTTGTGGGCTATAACATCCACATCTGGCTGCAGACAGTAAAAGGTGGTAAAGATGAGGGACGTTGTCGGCTATAACACCCGCATCTGGCTGCAGACAGTAAAAGGTGTTAAAGATGGGGGACGTTGTGGGCTAGAACACCAACATCTGGTTACAGACAGTAAAAGGTGGTACAAATAGGGGACGTTGTGGGTTAGAGCATTCACATCTGCTGACGAAGTTGAGTTTAATCTGAGTAGATGGTTCCTACTTCCGCCGGTACTTCACAAACCAAGACACGTGTCATAATGACCAACCTTAGGATTTGTGCCCTGGTGTTGGATGTTTGTTTTGTGGCTACAGTTTATCTCTCTCTATAAAATTACATTTCATCTAAGGTTTGGATATGCTGTGTAAAATCCTTCCTTTCGATGTAACCTGTTGTATCAAAATGTTTGTAGCTTTGTTAAATAATAACGTTGATGTTAATTACCTCATTAATCACTTACTAATTAGATCAAAATTAACAATTAAGTAAAGAAACGTTAAAGAAAACCAGATGTGGGCTTTCCCAATGGTTGATGGGGAACATGTTTCAGCACAGGGAGAATCAGTACGACTGTATCTGAATCACGTGACTCCACTCAGTCAGACAGTGAAGTCTCACTCTCAAAACGTTCCCCACTGCACATAATATTGTTAACAAGGGGGGTAAGTCTCACTCTCAAAACGTTCCCCACTGCACATAATATTGTTAACAAGGGGGGTAAGTCTCACTCTCGAAGCCTTCTCTACTGCACATAGTATTGTTAACAAGGAGGTAAGTCTCACTCTTGAAACGTTCCCTACTGCACATAATATTGTTAACAAGGAGGTAAGTCTCACTCTTGAAACGTTCCCTACTGCACATTATGCTGTTAACAAGAGTGGACAAAATTGGTATTTGTTTTAATAATGGGGATGAGGTCTCCCCTCTTTTCTTTCCAATCTGATCAGTGAATAATATACTGAAGATCCATGACATAATTGAAACTGTGCTTCTTGTAAGGTTCCAACCCCCTGTTTATTGCGTCATAGATTCGGTTTTTATGGGATTGCAGGAGCACAACTAGCATAGAATTCTTTCACCCAATTTCACAAAAGTCAAATAAGCTAACTAAATCCTTAGTGGAAACTGAAACTTTTGTTTTCTGTAACAGAACAAAACGAAGTCCATTAAATAGAAGTATTGAGGCTAAATGTTACAATAATTAGACTCGCACACTCTCACACCTCAATATCGCCAACCAAGCAGTTTGAACTTTCTAATACAGGATCGTCAAAATTCGCGTATCACCAGCATATTCACTAAGAGTTTTTTCTCTTGATTTTGTTCCAAACATTGGTCTAGATTTCAAGGAAGTGGTCTTGTTGTGTGTGTCGTCTTATCAAAGGTTCATATTTTAAAGGGCGGGACCCTGAAAATCTTGATGGTACGTGATTTTTGCGTCACCCTGTCGTTAAGAGAGCTGTTCCGAATAAGTTTTGTCAAATATTATAAACGGAGGAAAATATGCGATTACACTGAATTACAGGTTAGCCAAACGTCTAATTACGTACTTATGGAAGCTCATCACAGTATTGCTAATTATTTTCTAAAACTCTGTTACAGTGTATTTACACGTGTAATAATTGGATTAGATGACTCACACGGTTCGCATCTCCAGCTCTTAACTGGATTATAGTTGCTCGCAATGTACAACATCGTACAACGTTTTGTTTCATATTTGTGCTGCGAATATTTTTCTTCAAAGTTCACTAGGTGTCGCTGTTCGAACCTTTACCTCCCCCCCCTCCAAAAAAAAATACTGTTTTGTTTTTATACCGTTCATTACCGGTGTGTTACACATATTGAGCAGATTTGTGGTGTTGTCTGTTACAGCACTCAGCGTAAAGAAATGTTCCCCTGTGTGTCAGAGCTAAAATGTAGGGCTCGATTCTCCTCGGTGGACAGAGCACCTTTAGCCCTAAAGTGTAAATAAATTGTGTGGTATAGCTCATTTGCTATGTAACATACACATAGTTAGTGGGGTTAACTACAATATTGAGGGTATTTTTGTTTACATTTCATGTTACCCAAAGATCCTAGGTTCAAGCCACAGTCCTGGAGTTTATTTTCACTTAAAATAACTTTTCACTTAAAAAGTTTATTTTCATTGATTCATAATATGAATTAATATTTACACATACATACATGTGTATGAGTATGTGAATCTACTCCGGCTCCTATGGTTTGGCGGGGAGTGGTGGTGGTAAATCAACCCACTAACTACTTGACCACAACAGCTTAGTTTCATAATTTTGGTTAAAAAAACAACAACAACTTATAAGTGAGGGGAGAAGAGGGGGAGGGCTTGTACTCTTGGATAGAGGAAAGGCCCTGTGAGCCAAAGATCCTGGGTTCAAATCCTTCTAGACTAAGCTAGACTAATCGTAGTTAGGAGGTTCACTTTCACTGATTCATAATACGTATTATATATGGTAATAAAATGTTGGAATACGTGTTGAATGTATTCATTGAGAGACTAAGTAATGCTAATATAAATACATTCAACACGTATTCCATTGTGAGACTAAGTAATGCTAATATAAATACGTTCAACACGTATTCCATTGTGAGACTAAGTAATGCTAATATAAATACGTTCAACACGTATTCCATTGTGAGACTAAGTAATGTTAGTATAAATACATTCAACACGTATTCCATTGTGAGACTAAGTAATGTTAATATAAATACGTACAACACGTATTCCATTGTGAGACTAAGTAATGCTAATATAAATACGTTCAACACGTATTCTATTGTGAGACTAAGTAATGTTAATATAAATACATTCAACACGTATTCCATTGTGAGACTAAGTAATGCTAATACAAATACGTTCAACACGTATTCCATTGTGAGATTAAGTAATGCTAATATAAATACGTTCAACACGTATTCCATTGTGTTCTATTGTTGGTTTGTTACTTTTAAGGACCTTTTGTTGTCATTTGCTGAAAGAGCTTTTCGTTGTTATTTTAGTAATAAATTATTTTATTTCTTGATGTGTGTTAAAGATAAATTATAAACACAAATTGACGTCTGACATTTGCTATATTTAAGAAGTCATACAATTTGATATGTGATATTAATTCAGCCAAATATTTCTCTACTAGTACATTCCTAAATGTACAAATAGATCAATAGCGTATGTATATAATTTTAACACTATTTCTTTGCAACAGATGGAAAAAGAAAATCAAACGAGATTTTATGTGAATGTGTTTTGTCCTCACAGTGGTCATCGTATATTTTCCTTGTACGTCAAATACATCCGTATTTTCTTGTTTGTTTATATCACGTTAAGTGAAGTAGACAGGTATAAATATTTCCCAAGGTCGCCGCAGACGATCTCCAGATATCTTCACAGCTGGCGAGTATCGGGACTGGTTACGTAGAGCACCTTCGACATCGGCGATATACGAGCGCTTGAGACGAGGGCGAGGCTTACGTCAAGTGCAACCGTTGCCGAGAGTCGCTCACAGCGTCGAGAGCCTGCTAGACTCGCTTAACCACGTAAGTTGATGATACTACAACTGTTTTAAAAGTTAATTATTCTGTTTGTAGAAAAATCTAAGATTCTAGACGCAAACATCGGTAAATAACGAAAGATAAAACCAGTGTCCTCTTTTGCTTCGCTTTGCACGTGACTTGTCGAGAATTTATAATGTAATTAGTTACATGTGTACATGGATGAAGGAAATGAAACGATATTTGATTTGTTAATTTTAATCATGTGATTATTGTAGCCACATTTTCCAGTTAATTATAGCTACACTAATTGGATGTGGGATACACACCATTATTCACTTTGATTTGTAAAAAGCTTGTCCAGGGTTCCAGATTTGTTTCGAACGCTCGTGTTGTATTTTTTCATCCTAGCCTTCAAGTTCACTCGAAATTTGAAAACTTCGATTCTTTCTCATTGATAGTCTTTCAGAAAGTTTTTTTTCGTGATAAAGTAGAAATAATAAGACAAAATACATGATGGTTTACAAAAAATGTTGGTGAATAACTACAGAATAAATCATTCTGTTTGTTTTTGGAACTTGCGCAAAGATACCTGCGTTGGTTTGTCCATAATTTAGAAGTGATAAACTAAAGAGAAGGTAGCTAGTCAAGACCACCTACCGCCAACTTTTGGACTACTTCTTTACCAAATGATAGTGGGATTGACTGTACATTATAACATCCCCACGCCTGAAAGAGTGAGGATGTTCGGTAATGGGATTCGGACTCGCAACCCACAGGTCAGTGCCCTAACCACCAGTTATTTTAGTAGCAGTTATGATGAATGAGGTTCACTAGACGTGGCCTAGTGATTGGCCTATAGGGCTGCGGATCAAGGGTTCGAGACGTGATGCTGCTGAACACACTTTGCGCTTTCAGTCGTGTGTGCGTTATAAGAGTGACAGCCAATCCCTTTACACTGCATGAAAAGCTGGACAAAGCTCTTGAAGCGGCGAGTGGTTCTGGCTGACTTCAAGTTTTCTTGTTTTCAGTTTAAAATTAGGGACCTCTAAACCTGAATCCTTGTGAGTCTCCGACCCGATGATTTAAATGTATTTTACGTGCAAATCACAAGGTAATTAAATGTGTTTTACGTGCTAATCACAAGGTTATTAAACGTATTTTACGTGCTAATCACAAGGTTATTAAACGTATTTTACGTGCTAATCACAAGCTTATTAAACGTGTTTTACGTGCTAATCACAAGCTTATTAAACGTGTTTTACGTGCTAATCACAAGCTTATTAAACGTGTTTTACGTGCTAATCACAAGCTTATTAAACGTGTTTTACGTGCTAATCACAAGCTTATTAAACGTGTTTTACATGCTAATCACAAGGTTATTTTAGTTTTAAAGGGTAATTCAGCAACAAGGAAGTGAAACATGTGAGCATAGCTAACTTGCATATAATTGTTTATTGCACGTTTGTTAATTGACTTTTGTGATGTTTTCACATGCAGACCATATGATTATTAATTATCTATCTTTATCGTGTAAGAAGCGGCAACGTGGGCTCTATGCTCCTTATGTTCCTGTCAGACGTTCTCTACTCAGGCCAAGGGCAGAAGAATTCGCCCAAACATCCCACCTGATTCACCCGCATTCATTAGAGCACCACCAAACGGTCCCCTTTCCTTCCCCCACGAAGCATTCGGACGAAAAGTTGCACCTGCTCACGCTGGACCCGAAGGAGTTCTATAAATACAGACCACAGAGAGATTCTGAAAGAAAAAATTCTGGTACGGATTCGTTCAGCGGGCTCTTAAGGGTGCACCTTCTAACGGGTCGGGGCCTACGTCCCACGGAGCAGTTTGACCACTTCAGAGACCTGTACTGTGTGATTGAGAGTGATAACGTACACAAGGCAAGAACAGCAGTGCGAACGGGTGAACATAGTTTCGACTGGGACGAGGTCTTCGAGCTCGATCTATTTGAGAACCAGGAATTATCCTTTCTCATCTACAGTTGGGATCCGCGGTACCGTCACAAGCTGTGTTACAAAGGAACGATAAATCTCAGTCTACTTAAAGAGGAGCCCATCCATAGCCTGGCCCTGAAACTGGGGCCGTGTGGAACACTCTACCTCAAGCTCCAATTCACAGAACTCGGAGACCTACTGCAGAGAATCCCGGCTCGCACCTCTACGGGGGTATTCGGTGTAGATCTGGAGACCATCGTCGCAAGAGAGAACTCTAACATAGGGGTACCACTTATTCTGAAACTATGTATGGACGAAGTGGAATCCAGAGGCCTGACATTTCCCGGTGTCTACCGCATCTGTGGTTCAGCATTGAGTAAGAAAATGCTGCGTGATGGATTTGAGAGGAATTCCTGGCTGGTTGACCTGACGGAAGAGAATGTTCCAGATATCAACGTTGTGGCAAGTAAGTATACGTTACAACAAGATTACTAAACAAATCTGTCCTTTCATGTCACTAATAAGGACTAACGTACTTCTACTGCAAGGTTGTTTTTATAAGTACAGAAAAAACTTTTCAAAAAAAGGAAGTAAGTGTCGGGATGGCTAATATCAATCTTTCAAAAACAATGTAAATAAGATAGTAGGGATGACATTTGCATCATCCCTACGTAATAGCACAGGTGCACAGTGTAGTAGAATGTTAACAGACAAAAATAGGATAAAGTAAACTCAAGTGTGATTGAATAGTTATATATATTGCTATATATTAATTCTTGCCTGCGCTGTTATGTAGGGATGGTGCAAATGTCATCCCAACTATCTTGTTTCTATTGTTTTTGAAGGATTGATATTATCCATCCATACATTTACTTCCGTCGCCCCCCAGTGGCACGGCGGTATGTCTGCGGACTTACAACGCTAGAATCCGGGTTTCGATACCCGTGGTGGGCAGGGCACAGATATCCCATTTAGATATCCCATTTAGACAGCTTAATTACAAACAAACATTTACTTTATTTTGGAAAGTTTTTTCTTTAATTGTTTGCTTGTTTTTAATGCAGTGTTTCGATAGACATAGAAAGGTTGTATTTATAACTAAGTTCTGAATACAATGAGGTTCCAATTGTAATATTTATTGTTTATCTATTATTGGCTGGTAATTCCTGTTTCAACCTGTACTTAACCTTTTAAATGGAAATTAAATTAAATATCTGTAAGATAGCTAACTTGTAGTGGTAACATCGTTTACGCTATAATTATTTTTTAAATTACTACTAGTTATTAAAAATAGCTATAAAAGCGGATACTCCGTTTGAAACTATGTCACCTCAGTGAAATTGGTTGACACCAGTGTTTTGGTTTTTTAGTTATCATGTAATAAAAAAAGAAAAACAAGAAATTTAAAGGTTTTGCTATGATATGTACAGACATTCCCAGAACTTATGTCTCAGTCATTACATAGATATTGAGGTGATATTTAAAATATCATTTCGATGAACAATCCGAGCCATCCATACACAGGCAGTGCTACCGTCTGTCTGATATTTAAATATTAGGATGATTGCCTAAATTAACAACATTTTGTAATGCCTAATACTTATTCCAAACGGTGGAGGTTGAGAGTCTTAAAACACTAGAAACATAGCGTGGTTTATTTGTATTACAGGGCTCTTTTTATATGTCTAAATATTAAAGGCAACTGCCTTCTCACAACTGGCTGCAGACAGCAAAAGGCAGTAAGAGTTGAGACGTTGTGGGTTTAATTACTCAACTCCTAAACCTTAACTGATTCTCCACGGCTGATAATTAGCTCGACATCTGTGTTTGGATCATGTCTGCTAGATGGAATATCTCCTACGCTTTTGGTAACTATGACCCCAGGCATTTTCTATTATGACTTTGTGGTAATGACAAAGACTGGTAATGGATATATATATATATATATTTATTTATTTAAGTGTCATTTTAAACGTTTTAGTTTTGATTTGTATATATTTCATTGTTGTTGAATAGTGCTGATTTGCTTACAAGTAATGTAATTTATAGTATTAGAACTATTGATATATATTAAATTACACAGTATTTTTGTTAATAAGCATTTATTTAGACTCGTTATAATTTTTGTTTCTTAGGTCTTCTCAAGGACTATCTTCGAGAGCTTCCGGAGCCCCTCTTCACAAAGGGTTTGTTCGATATGTTGATAGATGGCATCAGCGTCTGTTTACCAGACGATTCTGAGGGCAATACGAAGTTAATGTTCAGTATCCTCGACTGCCTTCCAAAAGTTAACCGGGTAAGAATTGAAATAATAATTTAGAGTAAAATACTGATGAATTCGATGCCTCTGGAAGTAACTGGTATTTTATTTGTTATCATTCATTATCAGTGTGATGAACTAGCGAATCGTCAACGCGTTTGGAGTAGTGTTAGTCTTAATTACAACCGGTGCTGAACTAACCTTTTCAAATCCGCGTATAGCAGTGTTATTCCTAATTACAACCAGCGCTGGACTTAACCTTTTCAGATCTGAGATCGTATTTGCTTCAGTTTTTCCATAAACTTATCAACTTCCCTAAATTTTGATGAAATATAACATATGAAAATTGATGATATAAATAGCGCCCAGACCACTACTATGTCTGTCGTATCCCAGCCGACCTGATGAGCCCTGGTATTGGGCGAAAGGTCTCGACGGCACTGGGTATTACAACTGTAGTGTGATTGGCACGCTAAAACATATTTTTCTTTACTTTCAATCGATTATAAGTTCTTAAAATTACAAACGTAGTTTTCTCTTATTGATTCTATGTTTACTTGACTCACTCTTGGAAGACTAGCTTGCCGGTTCTTCTGAATGACAGTAAAGTCAAGTAAATATAATAACAGACAAATAATCGGTGTTAAAATGAAAATAAATAAATAAAATCCTTATCCTAAAAATTTGATTTGTAAACGGCTTCAATAAAATTTATAATAATAATTCATTTACTTAATCTACCTCCCACCATAACAGTCGTTGTTCATGAAAGTTGATGATATAAGTACCTCCTAAACCACTCGCCTGTTACGTACACCAACTGATCTGGTGAGCACTGGTATTAGGCGAAAGGTCTCGTCGGCACTGGATATTGCATATATATATATATATATATATATATATATATATATATATATATATACTACTTACTTACTTACTCGTCAGTACGACGTCGACGACGACGACGACGGAGGTAG